TTTCGACACGAGGGCCGCCAACTGCAAGTTTTTAGACGCGCCCAGCAACCGGCTACCGTCGGCTTCAGCCTTCAGTTCGATCGAGGCGCCGATCGAAGGCATGTACATGTCCACCTGCGACCTGGAGTGCGCCTTCTACCACATGAAGCCCCCTGAGGGCATGGAGGTGATGTTCACCTTGCCGCCGATCAAGGCGGGGGTGCTTCAGGAGCTCGGCCTCATGGACCTCGACTTCGACCCGTTGGTGTCTCTCTCGCCCCAGGTTATCGTGCTTCCTATGGGTTTCTCGTGGGCGTTGCATCTTTGTCAGGCTGCTGCTCGCACCGTGCTGTCGGACGACGGCCACTCTCTGGACCAGACCGCTCAGGATGGCCATCCCGGGGTTAACGCGGTTAAGAATAATGCCGTGGGGGTGGCCGCCTACGTCGATAACATCCTCGTCTTTGGCGGCTGCAAGTCCATGGTGGATGAGACTATGAATAGGCTGGTGGGCACCTTCAGGAGGCGCGGACTTCCAGTGCACGAGATCGAGCCCGCTGCTTTGAATGCCGACTTCCTTGGCCTCAGCCTCCGCGGTGGAAGATATCTTCGCATCAAGCCTCGGAACATTTGGAGACTCCATTTTGCGATATCCAGTTGGTTGAGGCGTGGATGGTGCTCCGGCCACATGCTCCGCGCGGTGCTTGGTCACATCACGTGGACGTCGATGATCCGCAGAGAGGTGCTCACCGTGCTGCACAGCTCCTATGGCTACGTCGGCGCCTTCGGCCCGAGGCACGGCAAGCTCTGGCCGTCAGTGATCAAGGAGCTCATTATCATTAGGGACCTGCTCCCGATTTTGACCTGCGACCTGACTGCAGAGTGGCATACCGTGATGACGGCCAGCGACGCCTCTCCCTTTGGCCTCGGCGTCATGCGACGGCGGGCGCCTGCTGCTACTTGTGCTGCAGTGGGGCGGTGCTCGGAGCGGTGGCGCTACAAGGTCGAGGGCGGGCACCAGGCTCGCCTGCGGTCGCTCAAGGCAGGAGAACTGGTGGTTGATGAGGGGACAGGCGAAAACAGACAAAATCCGCCCTCTCTCTCTCCACCTCTCAGGCCAAGATCCAGCGGCAGCGGGGATCACTCCGAGGAGCACCTGGGCAGTTTGGGGAGACGCGTTGAAGAATCCAGAGGACATCCAGGAGGCCGGCACCTTGGGCGCCCACGGTGAGGGCTTGGGCATCCCTGTGGAGCACAACATGACCGAGGCCCTGAGGTTCAGCATGGACCCTTGGGAGCTCGACGAGGTACCTGGGCACATTACACGCAAAGAAGCCTGGAAGAGCGTCAGTGCACAGTCGGTGTCTCTGGGGGCCAATATTCTTTACCTTGAGGGCGGGGCCTTAGTCACGTCTTATCTGCACCTTCTTCGTAACTTGGGCAGTCACGGCAAGCGTATGGTGGCTTTAGTCGACAACCTGCTCTTGGCTCTTTCTTGTACGAAGGGGAGAGCCCGCTCGAGTTTCTTGAGGTCATGTCTCAACCAGTTGTGCTGTCTGTCGTTAGCCACGGGCTCGAGGCTTTGTGCACGCTGGATCGCTTCAGAAAGGAACCCATCAGACTCGCTCAGCCGTGGGAAGCTGGGTTGGTTCAGCGGCCACCGTCATCTTAGTGATGCTCGGACGGCTGGTCGGCGGCTGCGTCGCACTCTCTGTCCTGCTCTTGCTGATCACGAGGGCGGAGGCGATGCCGCGACAGGGATCGCGCACCTCTTCGGCCTTGACGAGGCACCGCGCGATCCTGGCTGCCAAAGCCACGGGCGGGAGCACCGGCACGCTGGCCATGAGCCTGCTGGAGCAGCAGGCGGTGAGACTGAACACAGAAGCCTTCTACCGGCAGCCGCAACACACGTTCGTGAGCTACTGTGCGGACCGCCACCTGGACTGGAGCACGTTGGGCCAGTTGGACTCGATCCTGGCGGAGTACCTCACCGCGCGCCACCTGGCGCAGAGGCTGACGCCCGGCCGCATCGTGCAGCCGTCCATCGGCGCGGGCGCCGCGTTCCAGTTCTGGGGCCTCCTGCTGCACCCCGCAGACCGCGGCCAGGGCGGGATGACGGGGGCGTTCGACGTGCCGATCCCTCTCGATCTCGACCTGTACCTCGTGCCGGTCCTCGTGGCGCTCCGCCTGAAGGGGCCTGTCGCGACGCTTCTGTGGGGATTCAGTCTCGGCCAGCGGAACCTGATGTTCTTTCTTGCGGCAACGACCCTGGGCATCAACCACTTGCGCCCCCACTTGTTCAGGATGAGGCAGGGCGGAGTGAGCTGCGACCTTTTGACGCAGAGGCGATCGACGGAGCGGGTGTGCCGCAAAGGCCGCTGTGCCGTCATGTCGTCGATGCGGCGCTACGCGAAGGAGACGGCTCTTCTGCGCGAGCTTCAGGACGGGGCGGAGGTCGTGTACGCGTTCGGCCACCTCGTGGAAGGGCGTTTCTGCGAGCTGCTGGAGATGGGCTTCCTCAGAACCTGGTGCCTCGCCGAGGTGCCCTCCCAACTAGTGGAGGCGATGCAGCTCTGCGGCCCGGCGCGCGGCAGGCGGGCTCAGAGGAGGCCCGCAGCTGCGGCGCAGTGAGTGCTGCAGGCGACGCCGTCCGCCAGCACCTGAGGCGGCGTTTAAAGGAGGCTGTGCAGCGGGGATCGCTCTGTCGCAGGCGCGTTGTGGTAGAGCTTTTCAGCGGTTCAGGCCACTTCACCGCCGCGGTGCGCCGACTCGGCCTCTCGGGTCTGGGACTCGACATCAGGCATGGGCCTCTCGAGGACCACCTCGACGCCACTTTCGAGGAGGGCATCGTCGGATGGCTTTGTAGCCACGCAGTCGCCGCTGTTTTTCTAGGGGCGCCCTGCACCACCTGGTCGCGGGCTCTCAGGAGGCCCCTGAGATCTCGCGACCACCCAATGGGACTCCATCAGTTGAGCACTTCCGAGAGAGCCCGCCTACAGCAGGGCAACGCTTCCTTTGCGTTCACGTGCCGCATCATCAGACTGTGCATTCGTCTAGGGACTCCTGTGATGCTGGAGAATCCAGCGAGCTCCTTGATGTGGTATGCTCGCTCTCTGTCCCGGCTCGTTCACTTACCTTCTGCGCGCAGTTGTGATCTAGACCAGTGCCAGTATGGTGCACTTTGGCGGAAGCGTACGAGAATCGTTTCATGGCATGCTGGCCCTGTTGAATCCTTATGCCGCGTGCGCCAGGGGAGACGCGGGCTGTGCTCACGCACTGCCAACAAGCATGTAATTCTGTCCGGCCAGAGCCCTGCAGGATGTAAGTACACTGCGCTCGCGGCTGCATATCCAGCTGCCCTTGCTCATGCTCTCGCAAATGTAATCAAGCGCGCTGTGCTCAAGGCGCCGCAGCAAGCGATGGCTAGCCTAATCAGCAAGTAGCGTGTCTCCGTGCTTTCTCGCTTCGGCATCGAAATGCCTTTTTACTTTTCGGCCGCCTCTGCCATTCTGTCAGTGGCGGCCAGAGCTTCCTTGGGGGTTCGGGAACTCTCTATCTGGTCTGACCTCTGTGCAGTCTGCTCCATCGCCCAGCTGCTCGCCGGGAAATCATCTCATGGCAGTGTCTACCGCCCTAGCCTGGCTCGCGCTCGACACATACAGTAAAAAAGAGACAGAGCCCCTTCAGTCCTCAGGCCCCGCGTGAGAGGCTCGGTAGATCTTTGTTCTGGTCCAGCTCTGGCGCTCGGGATCCTCGAGGCGGGCTGTCCAGTTTTGAAACGTGAAGCGGAGCCGGGCGGAGAGAGAGCGCCGCATTCGTCTGTGCCTGCCCCGCTGGCATTGGGCTCAAAGTGCACCCGCCCACGTGCCGCCCTGGCCCTTTTGGCCCGTCTATAACTTGCTGCTCATCGCGCCTGTCATGGGAACTCTCTATCTGGTCTGACCTCTGTGCAGTCTGCTCCGTCGCCCGGCTGCTCGCCGGGAAATCATCTCATGGCAGTGTCTACTGCCCTAGCCTGGTTCGCGCTCGACACATACAGTAAAAAAGAGACAGAGCCCCTTCAGTCCTCAGGCCCCGCGTGAGAGGCTCGGTAGATCTTTGTTCTGGTCCAGCTCTGGCGCTCGGGATCCTCGAGGCGGGCTATACATATATATATATATATATATATATATATATATATATATATATGTGTGTGTGTGTGTGCGTGTTTCTATATATTGTCCTTCTCCGGCGTATCCATTCCTAAGTGTTTTGCGTATGTTCCTATAGATTGGGCCTCCCGGGCAGGAGTCCTTGGTGTATTACGCGTGTTCCTACAGAGTGCCCCTCTCCTGTGGTTCCAATCCGACGTGTTTTTTGTATGTTCCTGTAGTTTGGGCGTCTCCTGGGACACGAATCGTTGCCAGGAAGCCCAAGGAGGCTTCTGGAGGCTCCTGGAGGCCCCAGGACCCAGAAGACCACAAGGCCCCAGGAGGCCCCAGGAGGCCCCAGCAAGCTCCAGGGGGTTTCAATAGGCCCCAGGAGGCCCCAGGCTCATGCGCAGAGACGCACTGATACTACTGAGACTCATCTACGCTCCAACTCATTCACAATTAGATCCATTCCTTGACCGTCAATACTCAAGCCCGCTAATGTTTCAAATTCTGGTGCCTAGAAGCTCACGGTGGACATTTCCATGCTAATGAATGCACATATGGGCAGCCCCACGTAGTGAATAATTATTACTCCGAGCGCGTCGGCTCCTTCCACCTCCGCTCCTCCTCCTCCTCCTCCTCC